TGGGGATCGGAGTGTGCAGTAAGGATGCTCCATAGCAGGGGACAATATGGCATATTAGAATGAGGTATTTCCCTCTGAAAGGCTCCCTGTCTCTGTTGAAGCACACAGCACTGGTTCGATTGCTTTTGTTAGCTGCACAGATAAGATAAGAAACATCTCCTGTGATCCATGAGTTGAAGAGGTAACTCACTGTGATATGAATGCATTTACCAGCTTAGGAAATCTTGATAAGTTTTGTTGTTTGGGTTTTTTTTTAATTAAAACACGGAGTTTCCACTAATTGCACACCCATCTTCCTGATACAGGAGCACTTGTTTGTGCAGAGTTCATGCAAGAGGCACTATTTCAGCATCAAATTCTCTCTCTTTTGTCTGCAGTCTGCTTTCAGGGTGTTTACTTCAGTCTGTATGAAGTAGAAATATCAACTAAGGATCAATATAAAATGGATCGGTTAGTAGAAAATCTAAAGGAAAAGGACTTGGTAAGTATTTTATTATCTTTATTCATGATTTTCCCCCTTGCATTGCAAACAGCATGATGGACAAGGACTGCAAGGGCCTCATATATTGAGAAAGCAGAAGTAAAGACCCCCAATGCCAAAATGATAATTGCAAAACAAAAGACATCACATACCTGCCTTTCTCCCTTGTGGCTGAAAACCAGGCCCCACTCAGCTGGATACTTACAGTTACACTGCTGAATACTTACGGGCTTCTGGGAGCTCTGCAGATGTTGAGATTTATCCTTTTTTTTAATGGGAGATTTCCCCTGTGTTCTATTATCTGATTATCTGAGGCTTTTTTTCCAGCACACTGGGGTCTTTTTGTTCCCAGCATGATTGTCACAGTCTCCTTGTGACTCCAGGGGATAAACCTCACCCCTGTGGAGCGCAGCACCTGCACCTCTACTGGGATTTGTGGTTAGGTTGGGTTTGGCTTTGCTGCTGCTGGTTGCTCTCTCACATCTGATGCTTCCTGTAGATTCGGGGTTGTAAATTCACAGCTGAGAACTCACGGCTGGCTGGGCACATCCTCCCCTCACTGTAAGTTGGCAGAGGCCCACGAACTGCCTGGAAGTGCTGTTGCTGTGCAGCACTGCTGAAGAGCTGCCTGCTGATGTGCAGCTTCCCACAAGCAATGTACCACAGCAAGTGTTCGTTGGGGATCCCTGTAGGAAAAGCACTCAGAATCCCTAAGGTATTGATAAAACTATCTTTTATCGGTAACAACGTGAGAAGAAAAAAAGGGGATATCAAAGACAAGCTTAATGTCCCTTCACATGCAGGTAACCCTAAACTGTGCAGCATCGGTTGGATCTCCGGTTGGGGCACAGATCTGTCCGTGCTGCAGCTCATCTTGACGTGGAATCACAGAATTTGTGGAATCACAAAATGATTTTTTGGTTGGAAGGGACCTTAAAGATTATCCAGCTCCAACCCCCCTGCCGTGAGCAGGGATATCTGAGGGGACATAAGCTTATGGATGCTATCCCTTTTTTCTTCTCCCATTCTTGCCAATTAAAGATATTTTAATCAATACTTTACAGAGTCCATGTGCCTTTCTTGCTGGAATCTGTGACAACTGCGTGTTGAGGTGCATTACACCATGTTTGCAGCACTGAGGGTTATAACACATCCTGCCAAGCCCAATGGATCTGGGCTCGCTGGAGGGGTTGGCAAAGATGAGATACTTGAGTTGTGGCCATGAGCAGTTTGGTATTGAAAGCCGTCGGGATGTCATTTCCCTAGAACTTCCTTATCCTCATGTATCTGTCAAACTGAATGAATATATCTCCCTTATTTCAGTGGAGAAGCAGGCACAGCCCCTTTTGGGTGTGCTTCTTCCCCTTAGCGTGCTGTTGAGTGGCCCATGGGTGAATCCACTTTGGTGGCAGCTCCTCAAAGTGCAGATGAAAAACGCCCTCCATCTCCTTTCTCTTTCAGTGGCCAGGCACCCACCTTGTTCAGGGCCCAAGTGAAAATGAAGGGGTGACTGGGGCTAGATGGGGTTGCCTGAGGCCGGTTGTACTCCTCTGCATGCCGACTGATGTGTCTCTCACCTCTGTGTGAGGTGACTGCTGCCTTATGGCTTGACTTTCCTCCTCACCTGCCTGAAAATCATCCTGTCCATGAGAAACCACAGCTATTTCATTGAGCTGGATTTATGCAACAGAGATGCTGGCTCTTATCCCTTCTGCTCCGCTGGCTTGAGACAACTGGAGCATGGAGCTGCTGTTCTGAATAGTGAATATTACACTGAAATTGTTCAGCATTTCCAAAGTTTGTCTGTTGTCCTGGAAAAGTGAGGCTGTGGGCATTAGTCCAATCCTCTGTTATGTCTGAATATACTGAATAGGATCAGTGACGTTTCACAGAGCATTAGAAGCCTCAGGGTTACTCAGTTCCTGTAAGTTTCCTGAAAAGATGTGTCTGCGTGGAAGAAAGAGATCCAAAGGGGTGTCCCTACAGAGGGAAAGGCAGTCCAAGCCAAGCTCTGCAATGAGGCATCAAGCAACACCCAAAGATGAGAAAAGCCTCAATAAGTGCACGTATCTTTTTAGACATGCGGTCATCCAGCTCTGAGACAAAGTTGCAGACGTCTCTTAGACTCAGCAGATTTTTTTTTTTCCACATATTTATTGATACTGATGCTGCTAATAAGCAAGCTGCATGGCCTGAACTTCAGTCAGGCTTGTGGCTGGAACAGTCACTTGTGTTTTGTCAGATGCTGGTACCAGCTTTGCTGTTCCTGCTGGGAAAACCTTCCCCTGGGGCTTTGGAAAGTAATTCCTGGCTGAGATGCCCAGGTGCTTTTGAACTAAAGGCACTAAAAGTAATAACCTTGTTCATTAGTTACACCTAGTTTGGCTGAGCTTATTTATTTTTTAAGGAACAGGTGAGAGGAATTTGAGAGCTGAATAACAACATAAAGGGAATGCTTTTGATTACAGGCCCCAGTTGACCCAAGTGACATGAAATTAAGTGTCCTCCTCAAAAGGGAATGAGCTGGTAGTGTTGGCACACAATCAGGGCTTGTTGACAGTTGTTCTGAGTTTAAAAGTGTGCTAAGGAGGAAAGGGAGTGGTTGCTCTAACTTTATATGTGTTTATTATAGGCAATCATCAAATATTTACAAGACCAAGGAGCCCTTATCCTCCTCACTTCCTCTGCCTTGGCACGAGATGATGGTAAGACATAGCTCTGTAGAAACCAATACCCGTGCTTAAACATCCTGCTGTGTTTTGGAGACGGAGGGTGGGTGCCCTCAGTCTAAACAAAACCTCTTGCTTTCTTTCATAGGGTTTGACCCCAAGGAGCCTGACAGCCTCCTGGCCCTGTTCCTGTTCACCTCATCCCGGTCGGTGTGCCTGAGAGGTAGGGAGGCTCCTTTTGCTGCATTCAAACACTGTGTTTTGGGTGTGGGGTCCTCACCAGAGGATCCTCACAGACACGTTCCTCTTGAAGAGCTGATTTCCCTGCTCAGAACCACGTACAGCTTTAGCACAAAGGGTGTTTTTAGAAGAGGAGAGAGAAATCCCAACTCTCTAGCTATGCTGTGTTTTAAGCTGATCTAAACCAGGTGCCCCAACTCACGCATTTGCTGCACATCCTTGCCCCTTTGCAGAAAGTTGATGGGAGTGACAGATAATTACTTTTCTCCCTCTTGGGTCAGTTTTCAGCAGCGTCCACTCAATGAACTGTCTTTTATGTGCACGTGGAAGTCTGACTGCTTCAGAGCTTGGCTTACATCCCTAAAGGTGCACCAGAGCCGTGTTCAGGGAGGCAAAACGACACATGGGACTTGCTGGACTCTGCGTGAAGCTGATGTGATTTCCTAAGCCAGCAGTAAAAAAAACCTGCCCTAACAAAATAAGTGAATTTTCTGCTGAGAAAACAAATGAAATGAAAGGTCACTGCTGGCATGGGGAGGGAGGGAAGAAGTGGGGAAGGGGAAATGCTCCCTAAAGAGCAGTGAGGGTTTGGAGGCTCAGCTGTATTGTGCGACTTCTCTGCGGTGGGATCCGTAAAAACTGGTAGTGGAATGGTGACGACTGGTCAGGGTGTGTGTCCAGTGAGGGAGGGAGGTGGGTGTTGGGCAGGGCTTTGCTGCCATCAAGGTGAGTCACAGCTCTGGGATCCGGGAGGTGAATCCAGGCTGTTTGCAGCCCCAAAACATGCTGCTTTTCATGCCAAACAAACACAGAGGCACTAAATAAGAAAACAGGTTGCACAGTTGGAACCTGCAGATCTTGAAATAAGAATGAACTTCGACCTCTGTTGCATTTGCCTTAGATTTTCTCTGTATGTGTTGGCTTTTTGCTGCACTCTGGGTGGAAGTATTCACACTACCATTTCTTCTTGTGGACATAAAGTTACTGCTCTGCCTCCCCTGGACAGCTTCATCCACACACTTCCCACTGCATCCACCCTACCAGTAATACTTCTAGCCTTGCAGATCCCCAAGCCAAGGTATAAACAGGGGCCTTTTGCTCTGTGGAACTTCTGGCTTGCTTTTTGTTGAGTCATCCTAGGGATAAGCCAAAAGACTCTTTATGGCAGCACACATGGGTTTCAGCACTGGCTCTGTCTGAGCCACGGCTGCCGTTGCCCACGGAGCTGCACAGGACATACCCATCTCCCCTCCCCGGAAGATGAATTGGCAGAAGAGCCACATCCAAGCATGAACTGCTTTGTCTTTTCCGGTGTTTAAGCTATGAACTTTCTCCTTCAGGATCCACATATGAAGTGGGCTTGTAAAACGGGTGAAGACGTGACAGCAGCTTGGCAGCGCGGGGTGCAAATGTCTTTGATGCCTGAATTCAGACTTTAAGGACCTAACTTTAAGGACATGCTGCTGGTCTTAGCGTGGCAACTCTTCTAGTTTCTTTTCTAGGTGTAGGAGAGAGACAGGCTCCTCCTGAGGCAAACTGAAGATCCCAAGTGCCAGGTCAAACCTGGGATCAGGTTGTTGCTGTGACGCCTGAAGCAAGGGCCTGAAGTTGGGTGAGGTGAAAGGAAAGGATGCCTGGAGAGCAGACTGGAGGTGGGAGCTGACCACTCAGATATTGAAATATTGCTGACCAGATCCTCAACAGGCAGAAAATACCCTCCAGAGCAGAGGAATTTATTCCTGAAAGGCTGACTGTGAGCGTTGTATGCTGGGGGAGAGGAGAACAGGGCAAGGAGGTATTTATCTTGAAGAGGGTAACTGTGGAAGAAGGTGGTGGGACAGGAGAGGGCACCAGGAGTAAGGAACATCCCTGAGTGAAGATGTTGCAAGATGGCCGGTGGGAAGGTTTGGGGCTGCAGAGCAGACATTGCCCGTGGCTGGTGTTGATACTAAAGAGGCGGCAAAGCCTGAGCGGCCAGAGACCAGCTGGTGGTGAAGCAAAAAGGCAGGGGAAGAGGATAACATTGAGTAAACGCTCAACGTTGTTACGTGTTGTGATCTGAATGTTGATGGCTTCCAGATGTTTTCCCTCTGGTGCCAGCAGGACTCCTGCACATGCTGTCCCGTTTTGCCTCCGCGAGCGGTGTTGCCCCAGCCAGCCCTGAATGTCTCCCGAGTCCAAGACCTCTTCTTACTGGGATTATAAACCTTTTTTGATTTAGGGTTTCTCTTTTCTATGAAGATAAGCAGAGGGGTTTGGGCTTGAAAAGGGACGGTCACCGAAGACGTCAGGGGTGGGATGCAAAGAAAAAAGGAAGGTGAAGGACGGACACGTTTGAAGTCATTCAACTCAGACTCAAAGCATGAATAATGTTTCCCATTTCAAAACAAGCAGCCTCTGAATTTGTTCCTTTCCTGTCCAGACAGCCTTTGGGAGGAATGTAGGGCAGGCGTAACCAGCCTGCTGTGCAGACGTGCCGCAGCGTTCCTGAGCTAGCAGCAGAGGCAGGCAGCTGGGAACCAGTTCATGGGGACGCCTGGGCTTGCCAGTAACAAGGACCAGCATTACCAGTGCAAGGTTGGGCCAATAGACAAAGAAAATCTCACATCTGGGAGGGGAAGAGAAACGCCTTTGCCTGGCTGGGAAGAAATGTCGGATCATAACACGCAGATGGGCCAAGCCTGTGGGTGCAAAGCACCAACGTCAGCCTGCTGGGTTGCAGCAGATGAAGCTGGATAAGTGTGGCTTGTGCAGGAGCTCGGCTGAGAGGCTCTGCATATCACAGCAGCTCTCCAGGCATTTCCAAACACCGAGAGGATGCTGCTCTGCCAAGCAGAGCCTACTGCCACTGTGACACGTGTGAGGGTGGGCACCCTCGAGCCTTGGGACTTACTGATCCCTGCTGGGAGCTAAACCCAAGGCTTTTACAATACTGTGCAGCATACAGGGTAGAGTGTTGGTCCTGCTGGAAGCACCAACTGTTTCCAGCTTTAGAAAATCACCCAGAGGTTCATGTTACTTATTGATAGGGTCCCCAGATCTGCTTGAGGAAGTCTGTATAGTATACCCCTGTCCCACTCCAGTGGTGTCTTCATGTGAAATGCATCCACCCAGGTAGAGATGGAGCTGCTGAAAGTTGCATCTGAACGGTGATCTGAAACACAAGTGATCTGAAAATGGTGCTAATCTAAACACCCTGCACAGACAACCCTAAAGTTAAACAGGTTTAAAAAACCCAAAACAAACGCCGTGTATTTTCAGAGCTCCAACTGTCTGAAATGTTGGATTTAGCAAGAATTGCTGGAGTGAAGGGACTTACACCACTATGTGTGCGATCTTACCGTGTAATTTCCTGCGGAATGGGGCTAGCTGATAAAACAGCAGTCTTTCATCTTAGTTTAATCCACTTTTGACTCCCACGTGCAATTCTTTTTTACTTTAAGCAGTTACAAGCATCTATCAAACCAGGACATCGCCCCTGGGGCTAGCTTTTTGTGGGTTGGCTTCTGGGGCTTTTTCATAGCTTTCATGTACTCTTTGCATGTAACGGTGAGGTGATTGGGGGAATATAATCTTTTTTTAATGTAAGTAAAATTCTATTATTTTCCTTTCGCAGCTGAAGAGCCCGATCCAAAAAGTGATAGAGAAGATGGTGACAATAATGACATCTCATTAAAAACCACCTCAGTTTTGCCTGGGCTTCGCTATGCCTTACAGAAAGCCAGTTCTTCGAGGGGGGACACAGTCAATACCAGCATACGAATCAAACAGCACTTCCAGGAATATGCAAAGCTTGATCAAAATACACAGCGCACCTCTGGCCAAAACAGTGAAGTTCCCCTTTCCTCTGTCCTCTCACCAAGTGAGGATGAATGTACTAATCCCTTCAAAAAAAACTCAGAGCACTCCTTCTCCCAGCTGCAGTGTTATCTCTCCGATCCCAGCAGCTATACTCTGGAAATGTCAGCTGCCTTAGGATGTTTGACTGGGGCTGTTCAGTCTCTTTGCTGCGATTCGGTGGCTGGTTGTAAAGAGGATTTCTCTTCAGCTGCACCACCAGACCCTGTTCCTCCCAACAGAGCAAGAAAAGTCGGAAGTGAAAACCTGGAGCCCACAGCGGGGCTGGACAAGAGTGATGAAGGTCCCACAAAAGACATCAACTCGGCCAGCAAGCTGTGGGTGCAGCAGAGCAGGAGGAAATCCAGCCGAACTATTGTGGCCAGGAAGAAATGGTCACCCCTCAAGATGCAAAAGCATCCTGTTGGAGACAGTGGCAAAACCAGGAAAGCAACCAAGAAGAAGAAAATCTCTTTCTCTTTTCCTAAAAAGCCAGGGGTCAAGGCCAGTTCCAACGAGCCCATGCTTAAATTAGCCAATTTGCAGTTTCCACATAGAAGGAAAAGAGGTAAGTGCTATATAAATGGGGCTGATTTCTTCCTGCTTCACTGGGGTATCCAGCTGGTGTGCTCAGGGTTCTCCAGGAGCCATGTCTCCTCACCACCCTCCTGTGCCCAGAGCAAGCAGACATCTCCTGAGAGCATCTGCACAGGTCTGTGGTGATTTCTCCACAGTCTCTTGTTCAACCTTGGTAGGACCGCAGGGCTGTGACAGGGGAGTTCAGTGAAGGTGCCTGAAACCTGATGCTGTGCTCCATGCTAGTGCTTTCCTTTGCTGGACTGACAGACGACACCCAGTTGGGGGGGAGTGTTGGTCTGCTCGAGGGTAAGGAGGCTGCAGAGAGACCTGGCCAAGCTGGAGCCATGGGCTGAGCCCAACTGGGGGGGTTTCACTGAGGGCAAATGTCGGGGGCTGCCCTTGGGCCACAACCACCCCCAGCAGGGCTACAGGCCTGGGGAGGAGTGGCTGGAGAGCTGCCGGTCAGAGAGGGACTGGGGGGGTGAGAATGAGCCAGAGTGTGCCCAGGGGGCCAAGGAGGGCAACGGCATCCTGGCTGGTGTCAGCACTGGCGTGGCCAGCAGGGACAGGGAAGGGATCTGAGCCCTGGGCTGGGCACTGGGGAGGCCGCCCCTCGCTGAGTGGGTTCAGTTTTGGGCCCCTCACCCCAAAAAGGCCATTGAATGACTCGAGCGTGGCCAGAGAAGGGCAACGGAGCTGGGGCAGGGTCTGGAGCACAGGTCTGCTGGGGAGCGGCTGAGGGAACTGGGGGGGTTCAGTCTGGAGAAGAGGAGGCTGAGGGGAGACCTCCTGGCCCTCGGCAACTCCCTGCCAGGAGGGGGCAGAGAGGGGGGATGAGTCTCTGGAGCCAAGGACCCAGCGCCAGGCCCCGAGGGAATGGCCTCAAGCTGCCCAGGGCAGGGTCAGGCTGGCTCTGAGGAAGGATTTCTGTGCAGAAGGGGCTGTTGGGCGTTGGAATGGGCTGCCCAGGGCAGGGGGGAGTCCCCGGGATCCCTGGAGGGGTTGAAGAGTCGGGCTGAGCCAGCACTGAGGGAGCTGGGGGAGTTGGGAACAGTCAGGGGGAGGTTAATGGTTGGAGTGGAGGAGCTTCAAGGGCTTTTCCAACCCAGATGATTCTGGGATTTTGTGACTGTTCACAGGGCAGTCAGACAGGTCCTGGTCATTGCATCCCTTGCCCGCAGACTGTCGATGGCTCAGGGAAGAAGCAGTTGCCAAAGCCATGCTCATTGCAGGCTGCCTGTGTAACCATCCACCCTACATGGTCACATTGTGATCCTCTGAAAGTCAATTTTCTTGCTGTAGCCTTGAGGAAATGAGAAGTGTGAGATTGATCCCACCCAGATTACTCTGCTGAAAGCTGGTACCTGGCCTGAGCTGCTCATTCCGTGTGTCACAGATTGTCCTCTGAAGGCTCCTGTCTCACTGCTGAGGATAGGCCAAGCCTGTCCTTTTGAGCCAGCCTAAGCCTCTCCCTGATTTGCTCTGACGCTCCAAGTGGGTGAAGACAAATCTCAACCTTCCTAATGAAATGTGGCTGAAAACATCCAAAGGAACCTCTTCTGGCATTTACATACATCATTGGTAGCAGCAGTGACTGTGGAAATGGGCTGTCCTGCTGCCCAGGGAGGGGCACGGTGTCTGCCCACTGCGGGCTGAAGTCAGCTCTAATTTACAGTCCATCGAGCTCTGACCTGGGCCACGTTGCCTCAAGTGGCGTTGCTGATGGATCTGGGAGAGGTTTTTGTGTGCTTCTTGGAGAGGTAAATAAGTATCCTCATGGTGCAAGTGCACCAGGCAGGAATTAGAGTGGCTTATCCCCCGAGAACACCTATTCTAGGTCAGGAAAGCAGGCTTTTAATGAGCTTAAGGAGTGATCCTTAATTTTTAATAACTGCTTACTGATCAGTTACATCAGTAAGAAACCCCTTTCTAAGATCAGATGCATAAATCAAGTCACTGAAGAGTACTCTGCTGCTGCCAATCACTTCTAAAGCAGTCCTTCCACATTCCCAAACTGGATATTTTGCAATTACTCCTTTCTAATATGAATATGCCTCAAACCAAAAGAAATGCCTTCCCTTTTCCCTGTCCCAGGTGCGGAGGTCCTGTCTGCAGAATTTGTGCACAAAACACAGTTTGAACCTGTTCAGAAGGAAACCTCAGATCCCGATGATCCTAGCTTGGAAACAAAGAGACCAAAGACACTGAAGATTCCAGTCACGAAAAAGGTTCCTGTTGCTGAGACCATCACGAAGCCCCTGCAGTGTAAGATGTGGGAAAGTGTGGCTAACAACCCATCAAAACCTCAAGCCAAAAAACGAGCAGAAAGTGGTAAGAGTGCTGTTCCCTGTGAAAATCTTTCCTTTAAAAGCCGAGCCATGAAACACCACAGTCAGATCACCATGGGCCTTACAACATTTAGTGCTGAGGGTAATGATTGAGGTCTGAGTGCTGCTGCCCCTGGGCACCCAGTTACGTGTAGTGGCATAAAACACGAAGGTGACCGTGAAAATCACCGTTACAGGATGCACAAACCACATGGGGTCTCTTCTGAGTCTTTCTGAGCCTTCAGTTTGCATCCATGGCAGACTGCTCGGATCGTTTCAAAAGTCTGATTTTTAGCTGCTGAGCTTGGAAACTGCGTTGAGGACAGAGCATTATAATCTCTGCTTGTAGCCAGCATATGCCTAGATTTTCAGTCCATGACGTTGTAAATCTGGTCATTTTAAAAACGTTGAATTGTCGCAGCCTTTGCAGACAGACTGCAGCAGATTTAAGAAGGCAGCGTGGACAGCCCCTGGGTGTAGCATTTGCAGGTGCTGGCCGGGAGTCTGCTGTTAAACTGAGAACCAGTATTACGGTGCCAAAATAAATGATGGAACAGGAGAGTCATTTTCTGTTAATTTGTCATGTTTCCTCACACTCGCGTTTTGATGTCCTCTTTCAGATCGGCCTCTGGTCCTTCTTTTCCCCCTTCCTCGGGGAGGTGGAGGCTTTGATGACTGGTTTAGCCACCTCTGCTAGGTTTATCCGTTCTTCATGGTCTTTTTTTTTTGCCACGTGTTCCTGAAACGTGGCACTTTTCATAGCCTGTGTGTATCAAACACAGCCCCTTGTTGCCCTTGTCACCTGGGGGTTGCTGGAGCAGATCTGACCAGTGCTCTCTCACAGGCAGGATGTCAGGTGGGTCCTGCTGAATGCCAGGGTCTGCCAAAAATGCAAAATGAAGGGTGTTTAGCAGTAAGAAATACTTAATTTATATGTCTTACTATGCAGTTCTCAAGGAAATTAAATGTAACACGTAGGACCAGCACAGATGTGATTTAATAAGGTTTTACTTGAAGAGAGATTTTTTTTTTTTTGTGGGTTTTAGTAGAGGGCATTAACCTTGTTTAATGACTTCATACTGTTTTTACAGACATGAGCCTTGAGCCATGGTGAGGGGCATTTTTAATGCTGAAAACTAAATGAACACGTATTTGCTGTGCTCTGGCTGCCTTTGGGAGCCCCCAGGTTTCTGTGTGTGCTCTGAGTTGTAGCTCAAGGGCAGGTTATGCTCTTGAGAGGGTGTGCAGTGGGAAGCATGAGGACACAGGTGGTTTTTCTGTGTTTTAGAGATTTGGGGGTTTTTTGGAACTGTGGATTATTGAAAGCATAGCACAGGGTTTATCTGTGAAGATGGCAAATACTCAAACTAGAAGAAAATTTAAAGCAAAATAAAAAGGATTAAGGGAACACCTAAAATATCTCAGGTTGTATTTAAGTGGCCAAACTGCTCTGTGCACAGAGGGGAAAGTTTGGTCACTCTGGATCCAGAACCTTTTATTTCTGAGAATAAACCCCCTTCCTGAAGTTGCTTAGATTCCCAGCTCTGGATTGGTTTGTAGTAGCCATGGCCTACATGACCATGGAGATGATTTTTTTTTTTTTTTTAAGTTCAAATTCCATGTTGGAGAGACACTGCCAAACTGAAAGCCTGCTTTGAACCGCTTCTCGAGGCAGAGCTGTGCAGCCTTTGTTTGTTCTCTGACTTTGTTTTCCTCATGCAGAGTGGAAAGAGCCATTCTCTGTCCTCCCGAGTGAAGTTGCTTCTCAATGCCACGGAGCCAATAGCCGCACGAGTGAGACTCACCCAGGAGGGGTTGCTGATCTTGGTTTCGATCTGAAGAATGACTACAAGTCCCACGCCTTGAACTTGCTGGCTGATCTAGCTCTGGGTTCTTGTGTTCCTTCGTTTATCCCCAGGGACAGCAGGGTGTTTGCTGTGTCCTGCAGCCCCTCCAGCAACTCTGCAAAGGAGCAGCAGAGTCATCACAAACACAAATCCTTGCGGGTTGCTTCCGACCACGAATACCACCGGGTGGACAAGCTCGCCAAGGGAGCCACCTCTACTAGCAAAGCATCACCAAACCAGAAGGTCCCTCCTGATGAGCAAAGAGACTTAAATAATGTGGTCTCTATTCCCAGGGAGAAAAACCCTGGGATTTTCAACAAGAACAACAGTGTGAGCCCCAGCTCTGCGAATGTAAAACCCCATGCATTGCTCCCAGCAGAGACTCAAGAAGCTGCTGAGGTAAACAAGCACTGCTTCATCTCCGCCGAGCACTCCTACGCCTCACAGATGCCTGAACACTCCAACAAACACTTGTATCATGGAGGTGTCCCCTACCCTGGCCTAGTACCCTTCAGAAATGGAACCGGGAACCCCCAGTCAGGAGTCCTGATTGGGAAAGTCCTGCCTTTCCGCCACCAGCAGAACAGCACCCAGCTGCAGCGGGCCTTCCAGGCCTTGGCCATGAGGCACAGGAGCAGCCTGATCTCCCCCAGGCAGAAGGAGGATTTCACCAAGTCCCACACGGTGAACATCCATGGCAAGTCCATGAAGGTGACATGCCACTGGGAGGCAGAGTACCTCTTCAATCTGGACAGCAGGTACACCAACGATGCCCTGGAGAGAACCGTCGTCCGCGCCCTGCACGGGTAAGTCAGGCTGGAAGGCTGCCTGTCTCTTGCTGGATATCTGAGGTGCTTTTGGAAGGGGATTTGCTCTTTTTCACTTTGCTTTGCATGATAATTGCCTCTTTCTCCATGTTCAGATGCCCAGTTTTACTGTGTTAAAGCCAGTGTGTCTTCCATGCAGAGGACTTGGGGGTGTTGGTTGATGAGAAGTTCAACATGAGCCAGCACCGTGTGCTGGCAGCCCAGCAAGGCCCCGTGTGCTGGGCTGCACCCAGAGCAGGGTGGGCACAGGGCGAGGGGGGATTCTCCCCCTCTGCTCCGCTCTGGGAGAACCCCCTGCAGGGCTGGGTCCAGCTCTGGGGCACCAACAGCAGAAGGACACGGACCTGCTCCAGCAGGGCCAGAGGAAGCCACGGAGATGCTGGGGGGCTGGAGCCCCCCTGTGAGGACAGGCTGGGAGAGTTGTGGGGTTCAGCTGGAGAAGAGAAGGCTGGGGGGAGACCTTAGAGCGGCCTCCCAGGGCTGAAAGTGGCTGCAGGAAGGGGGGGGGGACTCGTCATCAGGGGGTGTAAGGATAGGATGAGGGGGAATGGTTTTAAACTGAGAGGGTAGGTTCAGATTAGATCTAAGGCAGAAGTTTTTCCCTGTGAGGGGGGTGAGGCCCTGGCACAGGCTGCCCAGAGAAGCTGTGGCTGCCCCCTCCCTGGAAGGGTTCAAGGCCAGGTTGGACGGGGCTTTGGGCAACCTGGGCTGGTGGGAGGTGGCCCTGGCATCTTCCCCCATGGCAGGGAGAAATAGGACTAGATGGTCTTTAAAGGTCCCTCCCAACCCAACCCATTCTATGATTCCCGTGGCTCTGCAGCTAGAATTGGTACCTAGAGCCATGAACCAACATCCTCCTTGGCTGTGAGTTTCTGTTTTTTTTCATCAAGATGGAAATCACGTCAAGTGATCTGTGCCTGTAGCTGGGCATTTGCAGCTGCTCTGCCTGGGGCTCAGCACCATGGGGGACCAGGAGCTGAGTTACCTTGTGCTAGTCAACTGGAGGGAGGATGAAGATGTTTCAGGCTGTGTTTGCTTTCCCTTCCAGGCCCTGGGACACTGATCTGCCCCATGACATGAAAGATGTGAAGCTGATACTTCATATGTGGATGGCTCTCTTCTACAGCCAACCCAGCAAACTCCTGAGCAACACGAGGAAGGTGGTGAAGCACAGCAACCCCGAGAAGTATGTCTCAATACACAGCACTGGGGACTTTCTTGAGCTGAGTGATGATGGTGAGGAATGGTTTGAGTTGGAGACGTGCCCTGCAGACTCTCGGTCAGACCCTGACCAGACTCCCAGCAGCTCTCTGGATAGCACCACAGATTGCCAGGGAGTTTTCCACCCAGAGGAGAGCCCTGCAGACTCTCAGACTGACACTGATGGGAGTGCTGGTCTTGTTGATAGCACTGTATCATCCTCTTCAGGGGAGCTGTCCTGTGGGGAGGAAGAGCCTTCCTCCACAAGCTGTTGTGAGAGCCTTTCCCTCGCTGATGAGAGCCTGGCTGTGAAAGACAAGCAGCTGGCAGTCATTCCTGCGGATTGTGTGTGTGATGTCTTGACCATCACTGCGGTAAGAGCTTGGGGTTTGGGGGATAAGGGTCTACAACACTTTGCACTTATAGGAGTAGGATATTTCGAGAGGAACGGAGCAAATGTCCTTGTGGACTTTCTCTCAGTGGGGTTCCCCAAAGCAGGACAGAGGAATGTCCCCCAGAATTTAGCTGCCCCAAGTGACTGCCACACAGATGTGCTCAGAGTCACCATAAAAAAACAGCTTTCAGGCCACAGTCTGGGTTTGGATATCCTCTTGGACTGAGCTGGAATCCCCAGGTTCTAGCTCAAGCCCTGTCCAGAGGATCAGGGTCTCTACTTGTGTGCTCTCCAAGGGGGAGGAATCCCAGAGAACTGAGCAATTAAAGTCTGGAACTCGGTGTGTCTTCCTGGTTTCAGCTGCAAGCTGTGTGAGCTCAGATTAGGTCTCAGAGCTGCGCTTAACTGAGGGAAGAGAGGAACCACAAACACCCCAGACTGGGACTCAAAAGCCTGCCTGTCTCCTGTGGGAAGCTGCCTTTGCCTGCCCACAGTTTGGGGACACGGTGCAGCCTTTCCTCCACTTTGGGAGAGCTGAGGTTTGCTGTCTTGGAGAGATTTCCCCCCCATAGATAGCAGTGCCATGCTTTTGCAACGTTTCCTTCAGCCTTCTGGTGAAGTCAGTTAATATTCCACTCTGGGTAGGGTTTTTAAAATTAATTTTTACAGTTTCTATGGTCTGCAGATGGTCAGGAGCGGAAGTACCTGGGTAAATAGAAAACATGGGTGTCTGCTGACATTTTTCAAGCCTGAATTCTTGAACTAAAATAATTCCTTTCAAACTTCCTCTCTGAACAAACAGGCAGCTACCATAGGGCTGCAACTGTTTTGCATGAAGAAAAAAACATCCGAGTGTTTTTTACCCCCTGGGCTCAGTGCTGTGGAGCAGGCAGAAGTGTTTTGAGGGGAAATGTGGAATCACTGTCCCTAGTGTCCATATAGCTTGCTTGGATAGATAAACTCAGGAGAGATAAGAGGATGCTGATTACACATATTACTTCTGGGCACTAGCTGATGGCCCCTGCACAGTTGGGTCTATTTTTAAGCCATTTCATGGTGTAAATAAGATAGAAAGTTTCTAAACCTTTCCCTGGCTGTCTGTGGGACTCTGCTTGCTGGCTGCAGTGGGGATGGTAGTGGCTCACATGGGGTCAGGATTCAACCTGGACTTATTTTAGAGACAAACTCAAATTAATGTCCTCAGGTGCTGTTGGAGTGGTTGTATTCACAAAGTTTGAGCATTTAAAATATTCACGTCCTCCTGCGCGGGTGTCTCAGCTCCTGGATTTGCCTCCCTTGAAGATTAACCTCTGAATTGTGTTGTTTCAGGAGGAGCTGCTCAGGGAGGGACTGTCGGATGCTACGATGGCCCCCAGCCCTTCCGATGAGCTCGGCCATGCCAGCAAGCCCAAAGATGCACTGGGCAGGGAAAACCTGTGCAGCCAAACTCCAAATTCCAGTACATCTCCCTGGAGCAAAGCACCGGCTGCGCTGGGTGGACACAGAGAGCAGGAGAAGAGAGGGTGGGCAGCAGGGTCAGGGGGTGGCCCCGGCCCTCCCGAGGATGGGGAGAGCATGAGAGACTCTGGGCACCGTATGGAAGTTGTGGATGGCAGCCGGGCCCCCAGTGATGGGCCTCATGCCTGTGATTTGATGTCCTTAGAAGCGAGTCCCAAAAGTGCAAAGCCTGATGGAGCCAGTGGGGAAGGCAGGGAATCACAAGACCCCTTCAGACATCCAGAAAAAAAGGAAGAAATGAAGGCGGGTAAAAAAGAGAAAGAGGACTCTGAATATGAAAGCACAGTCCTGCAGCCTGTTGATTTAGAATTTTCTGAAAGTGGTGATGCCAACACAGAGCACAAACACAGCGAGCAGAAGCAAGGGAATTTGGTATGTCCAAAGGACTTTGGCATTCCCAGAGAGGGCCCTGTGCCCACCCCCACTGCCATAACATCCCCCCGCCCAGGCAGATCAACACCAGTGCTGTCAGATGGGACTGGAACTGGCCCTCGGGGGCTTCCTGGTGAGGTGGCACCAAGCCTGGACACACTGCAAGAGCCCCGGGAGGCTCTGGCTGCCTCAGGTGCAGAGACAAACAGTGTTGGTTTGGCACACGCAGCCAGTCCAGCCGACGTGGGGTCACCTCGTGACAGCAAGTTGATGCTGCCGTTACAGGCTGCTCCCAGCCTTGTCTGTGGGATGCAGCCAGACAGCATCACAGGCGACTTGGGACCTGCTGGAGAGACGCTCGGGAATGGCTTAGTACAGAAAGATGACGATCGTGCGCCCTCTGCAGAAAAGCAGGCGCCTGCTGGGAGCAAAACTGCCAGCACAGCTCACCTTGAGCCACTCTGTACCCAGGGACTGTCTCTAACTTTGTTGCCCGACTCCAGCTCTGTCTTCCTCACATCTCTGGATGAAGCAACAGATTCCGGGGCTGCTGCAGAGCACCAGGAGGCCACGGCAAGCATCCAGTCTCCATCCCAGAGCGGCTTGGGAGGGAGCAGCTGCATTTCCCAAAGGTGTGGAGGCGCTGTTTGTGCTGACCTCACTTCACTGAGCACCAGTGAATCAAACCCAGAAAGGAACACGGTTTTGGTAGAACAGTGTAGCAGCCCTTCTGGCAACCACCCAGGTGTGTGGGATGAGTCCTCTGGAGCAGGTGATGGCCAGGGCTTTACCTTGGACTTCACAGCCTTAGCAGGTGACTCTGAAGCTGAGGAGAGCGATGGTGTGTGCCTCGGGAGTGACAAAACAAACACAGGGATGGTGGCTAACACACCACAGGAGCCAGAGACCTCTCTTCATCACCTCCTGGAATCAGAGCCCTCCTCCTCGGTGAGAGAGGGGATGTCTTCCACGAAGCAGCCCTCCAGGCAGCAGCAAAGCTCTGCAAACGGTCTGTCCTCACCTGCCTGTGGAGGCTCAGCTCCTGCTTCTCCCCGCAAGCGGGACCCTCTCCCCCATGGCAAAGACACAGACACCCCCCGCCACTCAGAGCAAAGCAAGCACGGGCCAGTCCTGTGCCAACCCAGGAAGCCCTGCGAGCAGGCAGCTGCTGCAGAGGTGAGAGTGGCTGCTGAGAGCCCAGGCTGCTCCTCAAAGCCCAGATATGCAGAAGAGGTGAAAAAAGACCTGGGTCAGTGTCGTGCAGAGCCAGTGGAGAGCTCCCCTGTGGCTGTGCTCGTGTCAGGTAACGTGAGCTCGCTGCCTCTTTCTCTTCCACACAGCCACAAGGCAGGTCTGCACAGCGTCGAGCCGGACTCGGTCCTCACCGTGCACCCAAAAACGTGTTCCCGCAGCGTGAACCTGGCTCCAGATGGTGCCCCAAGGCCCTACTGTGTGGGACAGCTGCCACCAGGCGCCTGCTCTGGGTGTGCCAGCCCCGACGAAAAAGCAGCAGACATGGCAGTGAGCTATGAGAAGGAACCTATCCTGCAGGAAGATTCAGAAGGAGGAAGCAGCAGCCCTCTTGCCAGTCCTGCAGCTTTTTCAGAGGGGGAGTTGCTCGTGTCACTGTGCCAGCCCCAGTCTGCGTGTAACCACGGTGAGGCTGAGGCATCCGATGCATTTCCTGATCTGCACGGTGCTGGTGTGGAGGTGGGAGAGGGAGGAATCCCCCCTCTCCCTTTCCCAACATGGCCATTACGTGCACACGGGAGGCTCGCTGGAGAAAGCCTGGAGCTTAGCGATGCTGGAGATCTTCCGAGGGCAAAGCAGCTCCCCAGCAAAGACAGACACATGGGCTTGACCTCTGAAAATCTGTTTGAGACTTTCTCCAGCAATTCAAACCAGGAATATTCTGGGGGGACTTCACAGTCCCTGTTTACAGCCGGGGGTTCCTACAGCACGAGATCCAGGGATGCTGCAGGCACAAGGACTAACTGCAACTCCTCCTCCGCGAGCTCGGGGCACGTGGAGGGGTGCAGTGAGGATTGGGGCTCGCTGGGCTGCTCGTGGGCTGAGCCAGGCTGGCCCGTTGGCCCAAGGGAAACCAACAGCGGGCACGTTCCACCATACGTCAATATTAGGGACAGCCAGGGGGTCGTCAGGGTCTACCAGAACTTCGTGGTCACCAAAAAGTGCCCAAAAGAGAGGGGGGGAAATTCGCAGCCTTCCAAGGGGCACAGCCACGGTGCTGGGCAGTCTCATTTGTTAAGGTCACTGATGGGGACTTGGAGGGGTTTTGAGGAAATCACCCAGCACACTTTGGACATGGAATGTCTCCGTTTCCATTATAAGCTAAAACAAATCCTAAGGAATGGGAAACCACCCTTTTCTACCTCCAAAAGCATCTTTCCACAAGACTTTTCTCCCCAGGTGATGTCTGAGACATTGCTTGTGCGAGAAGCTCCCAACCTCTCCCTGCAGAGCAGGAGCCCTCTGCGGGTGACACTCCTGCCCTCGGACCCGCGGCCAAGCGGGCTCAGCCAGCCCCGGCGACGCAGCTGGCGTGGGGACCCGTGCAGCGACACGAGGAGCAGGGCCCAGACCACGAGCCAGGGCCGTGCTGCTCCCTTCCACCTCAGCCAGCTCAAGCACAAAAATAAGCTAAAGGACTTGCAGGGGGACATCGCCGTCATCCTCGACGAGTACGCCAAGTTGAACAGGGCGCTGCTGAGCAGGGCTGAGGCGGGGAGCCGGGGTGCGGGGCCGGCGGACGGGGAGGCGGCGAGCGAGCGGTTGCGCGCGTCCCTCCCACGCAGGGTGGCCACCTTCGAGGAGATGATCGCGGAGCTGTGCAGCACGCTGCGCTTCCGCCTGCTCAGCGTGGCCAAGGAGGCCTGCAGCCCCCCCGGCATGTTCTACCTGGTGGAGACGGGCACGGACCCTTTCTTTGCAAGAGTGAAGGTAACAGCCGGTCCCGCCGGCCTGGACGGGGACGGGTGGCCCTGGGGTGAGAGCTGAGGGCAGCAGGAGCTGGTGCAGGGCAAGCTTGCTCAGCCCAACATGGATGGCATTTGGTTTCCTTAAGCCAGGAGCCACCTCTTGCTGTTTCATCTTGGCTCCCACCACCAGAAGTTAGAATCATGGAATCGTTTAGGTTGGAAAAGGCCTTTAAGACCATCAAATCCAATGCTGCCAAGCCCACCACTAAACCACGTCCCCAGGCACCATGTCTACAGGTCTTTTAAAAACCTGCAGGGATGGTGGCTCCACCCCTTCCCTGGGCAGCCTGTTCCAGTGCTTGACAACCTTTTCAATGAATAAATTTTCCCAACTATCCAATCTAAACCTGCCCTGGTGCAACTTGAGGCTGTTTCCTCTTGTCCCATCGCTTTGAACATCCCCCAGGCCAAAACAGATCAGAGTTCATGCATGAACAGCCCAAACTCAACCCCCACAAAGCGGCTTTTGCTTGAGCTCTTGGTGATGGGTTGGAAACTCTGGGAGGATGATTGCATGGGAGGGTTCGCTGCTCTGAAATAGCAAAGAAGCCCGATGCATGGTATGGTGAGATGCTCAAGGGGGTTTTCTCAAAGGTTTTTGCCAACAAAAGTAAATGGCTGCTTCCTCCTCCGCTGCCTGGAGCACACGGTGCCTTTGGCAACCAGACACCATAGGGTGCCCTTGACACCTGGTTGGGGTCATTGTCTCTTTCCTCTGTCCTCGTCCCCAGGAACGTGTGTGCTGGGAAGATGCTCTCCATACAAACCTCCTTACACGATTTGTGTTTCAGACCTTGCTGAAGACAGACGGCCGCGTGGAGATCGAACCGCCGAGCTTCTGCGATGCGGAACGCCTGGGCGCTGACCGGCTGCTCGTCGTCATCAGGAACGAGGACATTTCCTCACACATCCACAACGTAAGGACTGAGTCTGTCCTCTTTTTTTTTTTTTTTTTTGTTCTACCAGCACTATTTTTTAATATTAGGATTGGTTTTAAAGGGGGTTTTAAAATTTTATGCTATATATAGCTGCAGATTTAATTGTCAGTCTCAGCAGATACACTGTTCTCTCCACTTGAAAGAACAGTGCTTTATGAAGAGCTGTTAAAAACAAATAGTTCAAAAACATGAAGCCTGTCAGTTCTGCTGTCCTTCTGTCTCCCATTTTTAATCACTGAATAATGTGAGTAGCCCAGCTCAAAGGTGTTAGGCTGGGCTTATCTTGTGTAAAGCAGCAGTTTAGCCAGGCTTTGGCTCGTGGGCAGCAGTGAATAGTGCAGCAGACTTGAGCTGCCTGTAGCTCCCTGCATCACCGTCCACGGCCTTGGGGTTGGTCTGTAGAGACGCGAATGTTGGGGTGATGCAGATGAGGACAGGGTGGGCTCCCCAGCTCTCCTGAGAGCGGGTGTGAGCTGCAGAGAGGTACAAATGCTGTTGAAACGCAGCTGTGTGTGCAAAAGCCCGTCTGCCCTGAGCAGGTCCCGTGCTTGCTGAAGCTAAAGCACTCTCCGAACGTGGTGTTCGCCGGAGTGGACAGCCCCGAAGATATAACAGGTCACACGTACCAGGAGCTGTTTCATACCGGTGGCTTCGTGGTGTCAGACAACGAGGTGCTGGAAATGGTAACGCTGGGTGAGTCTCGCTGCGGCCTCTCGCTTGGGTGCAAACACGCCGTGTGGGCTCCCGGCCTTGCCCGCTGGTTTGCTGACACCATCTGAAAAGTTGCTGTCAGTGTCCTCGGCTCCCGCTTTAGGAGTGGCAATTCTTGCCCTCTGGTTGACACCTCAGACCCCATCTGGATTGTGGGTCTGGGTCAGGGCTCCCAAAAATATCTAAATACAGCGAGGGCCACCAAGATGACCGGGAGGGGGTTGATTGCCAGCCGGCTGAGCAGGAGCCAGCAGTGTGCCCAGGGGGCCAAGGAGGGCAACGGCATCCTGGCTGGTGTCAGCACTGGCGTGGCCAGCAGGGACAGGGAAGGGATCTGAGCCCTGGGCTCGGCACTGGGGAGGCCGCCCCTCGCTGAGTGGGTTCGGTTTTGGGCCCCTCACCCCAAAAAGGCCATTGAATGACTCGAGCGTGGCCAGAGAAGGGCAACGGAGCTGGGGCAGGGTCTGGAGCACAGGTCTGCTGGGGAGCGGCTGGGGGAACTGGGGGGGTTCAGTCTGGAGAAGAGGAGGCTGAGGGGAGACCTCCTGGCCCTCGGCAACTCCCTGCCAGGAGGGGGCAGAGAGGGGGGATGAGTCTCTGGAGCCAAGGCCCCAGCGCCAGGCCCCGAGGGAATGGCCTCAAGCTGCCCAGGGCAGGGTCAGGCTGGCTCTGAGGAAGGATTTCTGTGCAGAAGGGGCTGTTGGGCGTTGGAATGGGCTGCCCAGGGCAGGGGGGAGTCCCCGGGATCCCTGGAGGGGTTGAAGAGTCGGGCTGAGCCAGCGCTGAGGGATCTGAGGGAGTTGGGAACGGTCAGGGGGAGGTTAATGGTTGGACTGGAGGAGCTTCAAGGGCTTTTCCAACCCATATGATTCTGTGAAGATGGTCAGGGGCTGGAGCAGGAGTTGTACAAGGATGTTCAGCCTGGATAAGGGAGGGCGAGGGGGAGACCTCGGTTCTTTCTTCAGCCCTGATAGGAAGGAGCAGAGGAAACTGAGCCACACTCCTCCCGGATATGCGTCCTGATGGGACAAGTTTCACTTATCCTTTTAGATATTGGGGGGAAAAAAAAGTCACAGCAAATGTATTCAAATTGCCAGTACAGGATTCCAGTTTCACAATCCAGGTTGTGAGTCTCCAGCCTTGGAGATATTCAAACCTCACCTAGACAAAGCCCTGCGCTACCTCAGGTGGCCCAACTTTGAGCCAGGCTTGAGCCAGCGACAGCCCCAGACACTCCCTCCACCCTAAGTCACCTCTGTCCCTTGCTGTGTCCCCAGGCCAACTGAAGGAGGTGGTGAAGTTGCTGGAGAAACTGAACAGAAGCGGGAGGTGGAAGTGGCTCCTTCACTACAAGGAGAGCAAGAAGCTCAGAGAGGACATCAGGTAACGGCTCTGCGGTGGCACCCATGTCACCCCTGCTGTCCTCAACGCACCCGCATGGTGGAATGGGGTGTCCAGTCAGTGCAGGGACACGGGGCCAGTTAGGTGCCCTTGGTTGGGTGTTGGCTTCTTACAATACAGGTTTGAAGACTTTTGTTTAAATAAGAATTTTCCTTATCGGTGAGAGACCGTGTGCCTCAAATCTGGAATTGCTAGAGCTCAGCCTCTGAGCACTAGCAAATAAAGTGTGATAGATTTTTTTTTTAAATTTTTTTTTTTAATACCTGTATGAGATGGAGCAGCAGGATGTGGGACCTGGAGAGGATCAGATGGCCTGAAGCGTCGTGTCTTGCACGTGACCCAGGATGAGGCAGAGCTCTGGCAGCTGCCTCTTGCTCCCCGCTGTATCTCCATAAGGCAGTTCCCCCTTCTCTTTGGCAGAGACGCCCTTTGTGAGGGTTACAGCCTGCAAGGGGCTTCAGACAAGGCACAAATTTACTTTGAGGAGCTGCACATTCCGAAAGCTGCCTCTGCAAAGTGAGCTCCCTCCCCACCAGCTGACCCCAGCTCCTGCACACACACCCCCCTTAGCTTTGGGGTACCTTCCTGGGCTTCTCTCTGCCCTATTGTCTCTTTGCTGTTTCTTTTTCTGTCCCATCACATGTGGGATTTGGGGCAGTGATGAGGAGCTCTGAGCTTGTAACGTGGAGAGGAACCTGGGTGTCGTGGGGAGTGTGTAAAACCAAACCCTGGTGGGAAAAGCAGAACTACTTCTGCCGCTATTTGCCACTTACTGTAGGTTATTTGCAACAGCGTGTATTTAAATGATGCAATTTGGAAAAGGGAAGTAACACAGTGAATACTACCCATTGAAATGTCCTACTTTTATTACATTTCAACTCGGAGAGGGAGGTTTTTATCTGGCAGGCTGCCTTTGTTAGTGCCAGATTATGGGCCAGAAAGGACAGCTTTCTAGTAACGACCTGCAAACAAAGAGGAAACTGGTTGATTCTCTCTGAGCAGAAAATGCTGCTCCCTCCCAAATGGGGAGAAATCTCAGATCCTCGCCACGCTCAGCCTTTATCTGCGGTGACAGCACAGAGTAATCGTTCTGGAGACCTGGTTTTCAGTCCTCAAGTGTTGCAGAAGCTCAGAGTCAGGTGTTTCATTGTAGTCTGTGAGACAAGGCCTCAACCTCCACTGTGGAGCATCTTGTGCTCCATCCTTGGCACTCACGTGGCATCTCGTGATGTCAGTGTGGTGGGAGCACGAGCCCCTGTGTCGTGGTTTAAACTCAGATGACAAGTGAGCCCCACACAGCTGCTCGCTCACTTCCCCCCCCAGGGGGATGGGGGAGAGAATTGGAAGGGTAGAAGTGAGAAAACTTGTGGCTTGAGATCAAGACAGTTTGATAGGTAAAGCAAAAGCAAAGCAAACCCAAGGGATTCATTCCCCACTTCCCATGGGCAGGCGGGCGCTCAGCCAGCTCCAGGACATCAGGGCTCCATCACACGTAACAGGCACTTGGGCAGGCAAACACCATCACTCTGAACGTCCCTCCCTTCCTTCTTCCTCCCCCAGCTCTACAGGCTGAGCATGACGCCGTACGGGCTGGGACATCCCTTGGGTCAGTTGGGGTCAGCTGTCCCGGCTGTGTCCCCTCCCAGCTCCTTGTGCCCCCCCAGCCACTCACTGGTGGGGTGGGGTGAGGAGCAGCAAAGGCCTTGGCTCTGTGTGAGAGCTGCTCAGGGAGAACAGAAACATCCCTGCGTTAGCCACGCCGTTTCCAGCACAAATCCCAAACACAGCCCCATACCAGCTAAATTAACTCTTCCCCCAGCCAAAACCAGCACACCCAGTCTGTCGGAGCTGCCTGGGAGCTGTTTTCCTTCTGCGTGTGTACGGTGACACTTCCGTCTCCGTTTAGTGCCGGGCAGCAAGTGGAGAAGCGCCCCCGAGGCTGGCAGAACCACAGACGGGGGGAAGGCAGGTCCTGTCCTACCCGGGGAGGGGAAGAGAGGAAGGAGGGGGAAGCCCCTCACCATTTCATCTTGTCCCTCTCCCAGCAGGGTGGATGCTAACACCCACAAGAAGCATTTGATCCTCAAATCGGGCCAAGGAGCCGATCTCATCGAGGTGCTGCACTACCACGCCTGCGACTCCGGGGGGTCCCCCAAGGCCGAGTACATCAGGTGCTTGTTAAACCTCCAGGTTCAGCACGTCAGCGCCAGGTTCGCCGTGTATCTCACAGGTAAGGCCGGGCTCTGGGCTGGTGTCCTCACCCACCAACAAGCACCGTCTTGGATTAGCCTGGGAGGTGGTGGAGGAAGGACCAGAAACACCCCATTTTCCCTCCCATTTCTGCCAGAATCATTTATTTGAGGTGCAGGTCAGGTGCGAGCTGATTCATTGCCGGTGCAGCAAAAGGAAAAATGAATACATTTTTAGCTGTCCGCTAAATGCTGGCAGTTTTGTGAGCCTGTAGATGGCTTTAGGTCACACCCTTAATTCTGGCCTTGCTCTTTGCCAGGTGGCACTATCACAGAATCAGATTCATCTGGGTTGGAAAAGCCCTCGCAGCTCCTCCAGCCCCACCATGACCCTCCCCCTGACCGTTCCCAACTCCCCCAGATCCCTCAGCGCTGGCTCAGCCCGACTCTTCAACCCCTCCAGGGATCCCGGGGACTCCCCCCTGCCCTGGGCAGCCCATTCCAATGCCCAACAGCCCCTTCTGCACAGAAATCCTTCCTCAGAGCCAGCCTGGGCAGCTTGAGGCCATTCCCTCTTGTCCTATCAATCTGCTTGTTTCTGCGTTTGCAAAACAGAATAACTACAGTGGGATTTGGGAATATTTCCTGTAGGTTGCAGAACAAATTCCTTTTCGCTTGTTGGACTTACGGTGCCGCTCCTTCCTTTGCAGAAAAGCCCAGCATCAGCAGGGAGGTCCTTGAAAGCAAAGGAATCCTCGTGGCTGACGTCAACACGTTCCTTGAGACGATGCAGGAGGCAGCTGCTCCCTTTAGAAGAAGCTACTGGTAAGTTTGGAATTTATCCCTTTCCACCACCACCCCCCAAAAAAAAAAAAAACCACCACGCTGGGAGCAGCTCTTAGCTTGTTGGCGCTGCCCAGAGCGAGGAGGGGAGCAGGGCGGTAACCCGGGGCCACCTCTCTGTGTTGCAGGTGACGAAGCGAAGCCGCCGCGTGGCTCCTCCCCGGGGCCCTGCAGTGCCAGTTTGGGCCTCCTGGGCCTCTGCAGGCCACAGCCCCGACAGCCCAGTGGGTTTTGGGTGCTGCACCCCAGGAGAGGCGGCGGGGGAAGGTTGATTCTAGTTCTGTATATAGAAATAATTTAAAGATGGCTAACGCAATTCCTGGCGGGGGGTTGACTCCCCGCCCCCAAGTTGCATATAGGACAGAGATTATTTTAACGTTACACGGTTCTAAATTATTGGAGTGTTTTCAAGTGAGTAGTGCAGCTGACATCGGAAGAAATAGGAAAATAAAAAAGCTGTTTACTTGAAGTTTAGGAGCGATACGAGTCCATGGTAATAAAGGCACTTTCCAGGTGGCTGTTGCTGTACCTGCAGGACACGGGCCGCGGGGCACGTTTCAGCCTGCAGCAGTCACTCTGCACTACATTTCAAATCACCCCTGTTGCCTCTTGGTACCATTTCACTGCTGGGACTCGAGCGCATTCCAGCACCTGGAAGTAGCCAGACAACAGGATGCAGGAACAAACAAAAAAAAATTAAAATAAATAAAATTAAAAAAAATCTTTATTTATGGCAGCTCTGACAAAGCCGCTCCCAGAGAAAATGCCGCATTAACGACCTTTGTAAGATACCCAACCTCTTCATGTGGAGGACAGGGTTGTCCTCTTTGGTTTTGGGGTGGTTTTTTTTTAATAAAAGAATGCAAGAACATTATGTACAGGATGTTTTTGTATCGTTTGATTAATAAAAACTTCACTTTCCCACACCGCCGCCCTCTGGAGAGGGGTTTCCCGCTCAGCCCCCAGCTTCTCCCCTCAGCAGGGGTGGAAGATGGCAGCTTTCCCAACTCGTCCGTAGCTCAGAACTCAGCTTTGCTCTGCGTTAAGCCTGACTTTGAAGCCCACGCAGGAAGGCAAGAGAGAAGGAAGTGGGCTCAGGGACACGGAGTGCTGCAGGCTCAGCCCCCTCCTCCTTCCCCATGGGAGACACTCACCAAGAGCCGGAGGAATAACGGGGTAATGGAAGCGTTGAGGGGAAGGAGCTCCTTTTCCACATGTCTTAGGGTCCATCTTGCCTCTGGAAAGGCTCAGCTTAACATCGAGCACTGAAGTAGCTCAGGAGAGGAAGGACAAGGCGAGGAAGAACTTCCCCAGCTACAGCTCTGCACCTCGCGGTGGCAGCTTAAAAATGGGGGTTCCTGGAACCTGCTGCCGGAGAGGGGAAGTTCCAAAAGCCCCTCAGCCCAGGGGGGAGGAAGGAACGGAGCCGTTTTGTGAAGGAGATGCGGTCAGACGTGGTTCCCCATCAGCGGCACAGCTACGGCCCAAGAAAGGATTAATTTACCAGCGCCCGTTGCTGGGCCAAGTGTGGCAGCTGAGGGGAAGCTGCTCAGAGTTTTCTCATTTTTCCCAGCTCTTGGCCTCACCCTGTGTAAACACAAGCCCTGCTCCGCGCTCTGCGCCTGCCCCCCAGCAGCAGGATGGTGTCAGGCTGCGAGATCCCAGCCAGGGATGGATAAAGCTCGGTCCAAAGAGCATCTTACTCAAGAGAGATCTCGGCATGCTGTAGAGGAGCCTTAAAAGCAAGAGTTAGTTACTACTGCTTGAAGCAAGTGCTGTTACTGGAGCACAGGTCTGCTGGGGAGCGGCTGGGGGAACTGGGGGGGTTCAGTCTGGAGAAGAGGAGGCTGAGGGGAGACCTCCTGGCCCTCGGCAACTCCCTGCCAGGAGGGGGCAGAGAGGGGGGATGAGTCTCTGGAGCCAAGGAGCCAGCGCCAGGCCCCGAGGGAATGGCCTCAAGCTGCCCCGGGCAGGGTCAGGCTGGCTCTGAGGAAGGATTTCTGTGCAGAAGGGGCTGTTGGGCGTTGGAATGGGCTGCCCAGGGCAGGGGGGAGTCCCCGGGATCCCTGGAGGGGTTGAAGAGTCGGGCTGAGCCAGCGCTGAGGGATCTGGGGGAGTTGGGAACGGTCAGGGGGAGGGTCATCGTGGGGCTGGAGGAGCTGCAGGGGCTTTTCCAACTGAGATAACAGGTACGGGTGCTAGCAGGGTGGCTGCAGGGAGCAACACGCAGAGCCAGGCCTTGTGCTGCAGCATCTTTTCCCCTGTCAAAATGAGCCCCGAGAGCCACCAGAGCAGCAGGGTCTGGGCAGCCCAAGAGCAGCAGTCTGAGCCCCTTTTCTAGGGGGAAATCCTGCACTACTCCCCTTTCGCCCCTGGCAGGCAGAGATCCAAGGGATCTCGCAAAGGAGATGCTCCTCGTACAACTGAAGTGAATCAGACCAGAGCCCAGGACTGGTTTCCAGAATTTGGCTTTACTTCGCAGTACAGAAATCATTTGGAGCCTTCAGGAGACAGGAGAAGCACAGGCTCTGTCATACCGATACCGCAGTGCCGTTTGGTCCATCCGAGAAGCCACCAGGGTACAGAAAAATACTTCCACATCTTGCCTGCTCTGTAATTTGTTCTCTCAATTTTATTAAGATTAAAACACAAAGGAGCCTTAGGCACAGCTGTGTCCCAACCGATGTAAACAGTTTTAGAAGCTTAAGTGGAGCTTAAGTTCTGTGCCCAGAACCAAGCCAACATTTGCTGCTACAATAGATGTGGGCTTTGTCCATAATACAACTTGCCACAGAGTTAGATTGATGGGAGAGACTTTAGGGATGCTGTCCACAATAATGGAGTGCTCAGATTCTATTTTCCTTGATAATCAGGTTTGAGTGACAACCGTCACATCTACTAGCTCACCAGAAGCACATAATTGTGAAGGATGTTTACAAATGATTAAAAATACAAGGTAAGACACAGCTGTCAATGAGTTATTTCAAATCTGCACCAACGTCTACGTCTGCAAAAAAAAAAAAAAAAAAAAAAAACTTACGAGGTTAGTCATTAAGTCAGTCAGTAATTTGCCAGATTCTGGACAGCAGCCCTACTAGAATGAAATAATTAACATATGATATCCAAAAGGGGAACATTACCAGTGCAGTACTCTTCAATCTCTCAGAGATGGGATTACAAAAGCAGGCCTTACAATATTGAATTTCGTACAGTGTTCATTAAGTTCCTTATATATTCATATTAGCCGATTTTAATTTCTCCTAATTAGAGATTCTCATTACTGCTGCTCCTCCTCCCCGTAGATATCATTTTTCTTGCGTTTCATCTCTTCGAAGTCAAACTCTGATCCCATCATCCTCTTATAAATATCTTTGATGTCATCGCACGTCGTCTCGAAGTGAGTGGTGGCGTCGTAGGTGCGAGAGATGAAGATCTGGAAAGAGAAGGAGCCGTTCAGCATCGAGCCTGTGGCCTCACCCCCTCAAACCTGAGCTTGGCCCTTACTAACCTGGCTTTCGGTGCCCAAGTCGGTCGGTGCAAACAGGTCGCTGATGCTAACGAACCTGCAGGGAGGGAGGAAAAAAAAAAAATGGTTCAGAATGGTTTTAGAGCATCAAATTCGGGGCAAGAACGGCTGAATTAAAGGGCGTCGCTCTGCCCAGCGCAGTCGAGGTGCAGAGGAAATTCAGTGTTTCAGCACCTCTGTGCAGCCAAAGGGCCTTCAGGCCCCCTCTGCCTTCACGCCTCAGCCCCCAGCGCTCGCAGTAGAGGTGAGAAGGGGGAAGAGGGGCCTTGCCAAGGGCTTACTTCTGCTCAATGGGCTCCAAGAGGTCCAAGGCCGGCTTGATTTCCTTCTCTGGGTCGGCGGTTTCCACGGTGGTGCTGGCAATGGCGATGTACTTCCCCTGCGCCGCCACGTTGTGCGCAGAGGAGATCATGCAGACGTAGATATCTGGGGAAGCGCAGCACGGCGGCAGGTCAGCGGGCAGCCAACGGCCCCAAAGCCCGTTTCACACCCCTCTCCCCAACACACGGCACCTCCTCCAGTTTAAAACCACGCCTGGATGAGTTGTCCTTGCCCTGCAGCCCGATGTGCTCTCGGTCTCTCGGGTGAGGGGCCTGGACACCAGCAGCCCCTGAACTCTCCAAAATTCAGCTTCCTGTGGCTCCTGCCCACTTCTCCCAGGCTGGGGCACGTCCTTTGGCGGGTTCCCAACCACAGGAACCCCAACTTCCCCCACGTCCCTCACCACGGCTCTAAGCTAAAGCACATCCTCACTGGGGCATAAAAGATCTGTGGACCCACAAGAGCAGTTAAGTGCATTTTTCTGTTTAATTGACACAGTGTTTGGGGCAAGATCGTTTAACGACCGCCCCGCCTCAACCCAAGCCTGACAAGACCCCCGCCCCAGCACCTCACACACCTGATTTTCGGTTGACCTGATTCTGTGGAATGATGATCTGGCATGAGTTGGCATCGTTCGTGTTCTTGATGGGGTGGCTCAAGATGCAGATTACCCGAATCACTTGGCCGACCTTTGTTACGCGATCCGAGACGTAGCTGGGGTCGCAGATGAGCTGTTTGCAGCGAGCAACCTGCAGAGACAGATGGAACCTCGAGTGACCGCCCCGCAGAGGTGCGGAACTGGCCCAGTTGGAGGAAAACTAAGAGCGATTTGAGGCGGCTGTTCCTGCATCAGGTTCTTGTTTCAAGGCCAGCAGCACACTTCAACTTGGCCAATCCAAAAGTAAGTGTATTACTCTTAAAACCCCCTACGTACAGCGGCATCATCTACCACATCTTGCCCTTATCACTCAGCATGTAGTTAAGCTCTAATCCCTCAAGTCCAGTCCTTCCAGTCTAGGACCACAATGTCAGAGTCATCTCAGTTGGAAAAGCCCTTGCAGCTCCTCCAGCCCCACCATGGCCCTCCCCCTGACTGTTCCCAACTCCCCCAGACCCCTCAGCGCTGGCTCAGCCCGACTCTTCAACCCCTCCAGGGATCCCGGGGACTCCCCCCTGCCCTGGGCAGCCCATTCCCCGAGCCCAGGGCTCAGATCCCTTCCCTGTCCCTGCTGGCCACGCCAGTGCTGACACCAGCCAGGATGCCGTTGCCCTCCTTGGCCCCCTGGGCACACTCTGGCTCATTCTCACCCCCCCAGTCCCTCTCTGACCGGCAGCTCTCCAGCCACTCCTCCCCAGGCCTGTAGCCCTGCTGGGGGTGGTTGTGGCCCAAGGGCAGCCCCCGGCATTTGCCCTCAGTGAAACTCCCCCAGTTGGGCTCAGCCCATGGCTCCAGCCTGGCCAGGTCTCTCTGCAGCCTCCTTACCCTCGAGCAGATCAACACTCCCACCCAACTGGGTGTCAGTCAAGGCCAAACCAAACAGATAAGAACTGACCAATTTGCATTAGAACTAATTTTGATGGTAATTGTTTAATATTTCATCAATTTGAAGCCTCCAGGCTGCCTGCACTTGGGCACATCAGTCCACAAGACGGATTAGCACCTCTACTGCTTGCCAGGACACGTCATCGCCTCCCCCAGAAGGGACAGGTTACCCCACCAGCAAGTACTAAACTGTCCTGCGAAGCGCCCGCTCCAGCCGGGAGCACATTTATAGCTTCTGAGCAGCTCGCAGCACCCTCGCTAGCTTTAGAGGAGAAGCTGCCACAAGGCTGGGTGCCAGCTGTCCCAGCAGCTAATATTTAATGTCAAGGGCAGAGCTGATTTTATACC